CCGTTTGTCGAGTGCACAGTGTGGGCCCTGGAACCAGACTGCACGGGTTCAAATCCCAGTGAATGCTAGCAGCTGAGTGGTCCTGGGCAAAACACCTGCCTGCCCACGTCTCGGTTCTTCCATCACTGACTGTGAAGGTGACATTAGCTAACACAAAAAGCATTCACAGCAGGCTTGCACAGAGTAAGCACTCAATAAGTGTGACTCTTCGTCCTTCCCGTTATAAGGCAAAGGAAGAGACTCCACACACCGAGAGAAAGGCCGAGAAAAGTACGGATGGCTAAGAAGTGCCAGACGAAGCTGTCTTCTCTGGAAGGGCAAAATCCAGAGGATGACAGACAGCAGCTGTGTGAACAGGAGAATCAGGCGTAGGTCTGGACACAAAAGCCACCAAAACCAGGGAGTGATGATTCTCAAAACTATCAGAGTGTTTCACAAGACTGACACACATGCCCCTGGGCTAGGGAAAGGGGGCCACAGCAGGCGAGCACCCTACGGTGGCCCAGGGAGCACACCACTAAAAGCTGCCCGTCCGGGGCAAAGTGCCCACCAGGCCCAGCTGAGTGGTGGGATGGCAGGTGATCAGGCCTTCTCACAGGCAGTCTCGAGAGCTTGGCACTGCTCCAACCCCCCGGGCTGCCTAGAGATGGGAGCCGACCCTTTTGGCCAGCCTGGCCTTCGATGCCAGGGGCAGCGGCAGACAGCTGTTGGTGATGTACTCTATGCCAGCCTGGTCCCTAGGGCGGGGCTTTTAACTCTAGGGCCATGGGCGGATGTAGGAGGTGTGTGTGTTTACAGACGGGCTCACGATTCTCAGCCCAAAAACGTTAACAGCCACTACTCCAGGAAGTTCGAACTGCAAATTCTGAAACCTGAGAGGACTCAGCATTTTCTTGTCCATTCCCCATCAGACCGTGAGCTCCTCCACTAAGTCGTCATCTCCCTTAGAGCCCAAACCACAAAACTGACTGTGTCTCATGCACTGTTGTAATCCCAGGCTTAGCACGGTGTTAACGAAGAAATGTGTTTTTAAAAACTAGTTAATTGGCCTAATTAATTGGTGCTCGTGTCCCTTCCAGCATTCCTTCTCCAGCTGCTTTTTCTTCTGAGGGGCTTAAACATTTCAGAATTTCATTTCTGTAAACAGATTATGGGAAAGTCCCAAATTCACCGAAGCTCAGAGTGACAGTTTCATCGTCTAACATCACCTTTATCTTGGGAAGAGAAATCAGACCACCCTCCCCCAATTCCTTCTACCAATCACCACTGCTATAATAAAAACAGAGACCTTCTGCCTCAAATTTCCACCCTGCTCAAAACCAGCAACGCACAATTATAGGCGGAGATACCCATGTGCACACTGGTAAGCCACACACGCAAACACATCAGGTTAAATCAGTCAGTCATGTGAAGGCAGTGGCTTGAGAAAGAACTCGACTTGAGAATGACTAAAGGAGTCATCACCAAAGGCCGGGGACAAGTCAGGAATCTTGCTGACACACTGCTCTGACAGGCAGCTCTGACAATCAGGAGCATGACGAGGCACATGTGCCACCCCCAGCCAACTCCTCACTCTCCCAGAGCCCAGGGGCTGCTGGGCTGGATCACTTTTCTATTTATGGAGTAGGCTATATTCCCCAACGTCTTCTGAAGCCAGAGCAGGCAAATGCCTACTCAAGGGAAGAGAAGGCAAGACACCCCTGGCTCTCACTGTCAAGACGGGGCCCAGGGCTGGAGGGGGCAGCCTTCTCCTGCAAATGCTCCTTTTCTACCCAGCCTGAGCCAAGTGAAACCCGCAAGCCCTGCTCCCTTCTGGAAAGCAGAAAGCTCGACTTGGCCTCTGCACTCCATTCTACTTCGATGCAGTTCTAGAGCCCGTGTGCCAGCTGCTCCCCAAGAAGAGCCGCTGACCCGGGGTGGGAGAGCCCACTACCGGCCTGGTCCCCAGGGCTCAGGGCTGAAGATGCTGCGAGTGCCCGCACCCTGCAGGTCAGGAACCCAGTCTGGAAGCTGCCTGGCCATAGCCTGCGGAGTGAGGCTGCGAGGGAGGCGGGCGCCAGGAATCCCCAGGGGCCCAGAACCGGCTCCCTGACCTAAGGACAACTCCGGATCCTTCCAGCCTTTCTTTTCATTCAGATTCGCCCCAAATTAGAGCCCTAAGGGACTTCAGAGCGCATCCAATCCGAATCTCTCCGCGTAAGGATGAGGAAGCTCAGGCCCAAGGTCACACGGGGAGAGGTGGCTCTCCGGGTTTCGGCTCAGGGCTCTCCCCTGGAAGTCCCGCAGGGCTCTAAGCACTATTCCCTTCCGGTTCCTCCCCACCTCTGACCCCGACCCCCGCGGCCCTCGATTCCCACCTCTTCACCCCGGATCCGCAAAGCTCGGCGCCCGGCCGAGCTCGGCGCGGAGGGGACCCCTCCACGTGCGCCCCTCCAAACCTCGCAGCCGCGACCCCTCCCTGCGGCTCCGTCCCGGGCCGCGGGACCCCGCCCCCGCGCGCCGCCAGACTGCACCCTCCTCCCGCGCCCGCGCCCCAGCCGGGTGCCCGGGCCCCGCCCGCCCGAGGCCCCGCCCCTCGCCGTCCCCCCACTTCCCTCCGCGGCGCACTCACGCCCCGGCCCCTCTCACCGGTACAGCCGCTTAGTGTGGAGGACCTTTGCTTCCGGCTCGCTGCTGTCCCCTGCGGCGGGGCCTTGGCTCATGGTGCCCGGGTCCGGGGGTGGCTCCCGGTCACAGGCCCCCGCCACCCACCGCTACCGCCAGCACCGCCGTCTCCGGCCGCAGCCGCAGCAGCCACCGCCGCCGGCCCTGCTCGGCCGCCATCGCTGTGAGGCGGCTGCCCGCGACAGCTCCTCCTCCGCCTGCCAAGTCTCGCGATAGCGGCTGCACAGTTGCGGGCCAGCGGCGTGCTGCTACCAAATCTCGCGGAACTCACTTTCCCTCCCGGGAAGTTGCCAGAACTAACTCCGGGCAGCATGGCCTCTTTCCGGCTTCTTCAAGCCCTTGCGAAAAACTTTATTGATACAGCTGCCAGAGAACGGACAGTGGGTGGATCGGGGCAGATGGGCTCATGCCAGGAGCTAGGAGCGTGACTTTGCTTTGTCCTGCAGTGGTCAGTCCACCCCCTTCTGCCCCTTCACCCCCTCCTCCCGTTTGAACCGAGTCTTTCAAATTACTGGTTAGAGTGATTGCATTTCTCCCTTTTCCCCATCATTTAAACAAACAAAAATGCCTGTGAAAGTTTCCTTGTAAAGGGCCAAACATGAGTGAGGCCTTCCATCCAGTTCGTGACTCGGCCCTTCTGCTGCCCCTCCCCAAGATTTCCGGTCGCGCCAACATATACTGGACACCTGCTGTCCTCCAGCCACACTGCTGGGTTCTGGACACACGGAGATGAGCAATCAGACACTGTCCTGCCCATCATTTGATGCCTTAACTGCCTTCCTATCCTCCAGCTTAGAGGGGTGAAATAGAACTCGATCATAAAACACCACGAACAAGTCTGAGGAGGGTATTTTATCTCAGAATTTTCAATGCAAAGATGAGCTCCAATGTAGCTGTCACTTTTGTGAGCCATCTGTTGCAAAATGACCTCACAAACCCCAAACAACCTTAGTGTGAGGTACCGCAGAAACAAGAAGCCACACGCCCGCGTTTCTGCCTCAGGTACTCCCTTTGGGAAGATGGCTTTGGATTCCTTGACGTTAAACCCAAAAAGCAAGGTGTTAGGGGGCAGAGGCTGTGGACTCCTTGTAATGGGAACTAGATTCCCTTTACGCCACTACGGTTCTGGTCCCAGCCGACCTTCTTTCTGTCTGTTTTTTAAACAGCCCAGTCTTTCCCACTCCTTGGCCTTTGGCTTACGGTCCCTCCCCTTGCCTGGAGCACTCTGATTTCCCTTCACATCTCAGCTCCAATGGCACCTTGGCAAGAGGTTTGTCCTACTGAAATTGTTTTATTGATTTAGTTGCTAGGCTTCTTTATGATCTGTTCCCCTCAAGGGCAAAGACCTTGCCTGTTATCTTGTCTCCCGGATGATCTGTGCTTAGAATAGTGCCTTAGCTAACAATAGGTGCTCAATAAATACCGAATGAGTAAGTGTAGAAATTCCACTCTTTTCTGGGTAGTCCAAACTACACCAAGCACTCTTTGATGCACAAACCCCATGGTCCCCCTCTGCCTTCCTGAGCTGGGAGCTCCTACACTTCCCGTTTGCTAGAACTCAGACTTATTTCTATGCCCAGCTGCACCCCCACTTTCGGAGGGATGACATCCTCCTCCCATGCTTTTTCTGTCGGCAGATTCAGCAGGGCGGGACCTGCCCCTTTAATCTGGGCTCCACCTGCTCTGGTCAGACTGGTTTGGAGATACAGGTCTCCCTTTGAGGGAGACCGGAGAAATACTTGCACAGCCAGCAGGGAGCTGGGCAGCTCCTTCCCAGACGCTGTGAGGACCCTCTGCCTCTCCAGATGGAAAGTAAGAGGGTGTCAAAGATCCGAATGTCAAGGAGTGGGGGGCCCTTGCGGAGGTAGAGGCAGGGGTCAGCCCCATCAAGAAGCAGTGGGACAGAACAGACGGCAGGGGGAGGAGAGACCTGAGAGGAGGCAGGGGGGCAGCTGCCACGGGACCTCGAGGGCAGAGTGCACAGACCCAGGCCCTTGGAGCTGACCAGGGTGGGCTTGTGAGGAGTTTGGAAGCTGCCCCAGTACCCAGGCTCGAACGATAAAACAGGGTGTATTCATGCCACCAGTTCCTGGGGACAGATCTGTTGGCAAATCACTAGTATCGGTTGCCAGGAAGAGTCCGAGCGGGGTCTGCAGGGAGAAGGGGAGGTTCTAAGGTGAAGGAGGAGGCTTCTGTGTCCCCGAGGAGGTCCTCGGTCAGTGGCAACTCTGGGCAAAGCTCTAGGCACCTTTCCTTCCTCTGGGTCCTGCACTGAGGTGGCCATGTCCCCGGGGTTTTTGGTGGAGGGGTAGAAGGCGTGGGCGGGGGCTGGCCCAGCCGAAGGCCTGTGACCCCGGACTCACCCTCTCCTGCTGGATGGCCTTCGATGTCGTAAGGGTGTCTCCATGTCAGCTGCTCACTGCTCTCCCACCTCCCTGTTCCAGCACCTTCCGCCACACCATGTCCTCCCAAAGGTTCCCGAGGGGACTAAAGCCCACGAGACTGGCTGCCCTGCAGAGTTCCAGTTTCGTCCACCCGTCCTCAGGGCCAGAGGACGGGGTCCTCTGACGAAACTTACCTCTGCTAACCTCCAGGGTGACATGACCTCACGGTAGACCCCAGAACCGAGGCCCCAGGATGACGGAACCCGAGACCCTGGCTCTGTTGGAGGTGAAGGGGTCTGAGGCCCCGGAGAAGAGCGCGCCCCAGGCCTTGGTCCCCAATGGCGGGCAGCCGGAGGGGGAGAGCGGGGCTGAGTCCCCTGGCGCTGAGTCCCCCAGAGTGGAGTCATCGGCCGGGTCTCCCGCAGCTGGAGAGGGGACTGAGGATGGTCTAGACAGCACCGTGAGTGAGGCTGCCACCCTGCCTTGGGGAACCGGCCCCCAGCCCAGTGCTCCGTTTCCGGACCCGCCCGGCTGGCGGAACCTGGAGCCCGAGCTCCTGGAGGTGGAGCCGCCCAGCAAGCCGGAGGGCCTGCCAGAGGATGACACTGACCCGCTGCCCGAAAAGGTGGCCCGAGCCTGCGTGCCCATCGACCTGCAGTGCATTGAGCGGCGGCCCCAGGAGGCCGTCGCCCTGTGCTGTGAGGCGGGCGAGGCTGAGCGCCGCCGGGCCCTCCTGCACCCCCGAGCCGAGCCCCCCGAGCTGCCGGAGCGCAAGTGGGCCGAGGCTGCCACGAGGCCGCCCAGCCGCACCTGCAGGGGCTGCGGAAGCTGCGGAGGCCAGGAGGGGCTGAAGGCTGTGGCCTCGGTGGTGGCCGCCCTCGTCCTCTTCCCCTGCCTGCTGTACGGGGCCTACACCTTCCTGCCCTTCGACGCCCCCCGGCTGCCCACCATGAGTTCCCGCCTCATCTACACGCTGCGCTGCGGGGTCTTCGCCACCTTCCCCATCGTGCTGGGTGAGCCCGGGCCCTGTGACAGGGGAGGGGGCTCCTGGGGACTGGGCCGAGGGCAGGGCCGGCCTGGCTGGGGAGCGGGATGGTTTCCCTTCATTCGGCCAGGTCCCCCAGGGCCTCGCACACCTGCCCCCCTGCCTGCCTGTCCCCTCCCGGGCCTCCAGCCGCACTGTGGGGAGCCCTGGCCTGGCCCTGCTGACCCGCCCCCTGCCCCCCAGGCCTCCTAGTGTACGGGCTGAGCCTGCTGTGCTTCTCCGCCCTGCGGCCCTTTGCCGAGCCGCGGCGGGAGGTGGAGATCCACCGGCAGTATGTGGCTCAGTCGGTCCAGCTCTTCATCCTGTACTTCTTCAACCTGGCTGTGCTGTCCACCTACCTGCCCCAAGACACCCTCAAGCTGCTCCCGCTGCTCACCGGCCTCTTCGCGGTCTCCCGGTGAGTCAGGGCGGGGACGGGGGTGGGGCACAGGGGAGGTCGTGCTGCCACGGGCCGCAGGTGCCTCAGTGCGTGGATGGCCAGGGCCAGGGGCTTTCTGGACCCTGCATTGGCCCACACAGGCAGCCTGGAAAGACAAGTCCACTTTCTCCCTCGCTCCTTACCTCCCCTGGTAGCAGGAGGTCAGCTCAGGTCTTCCCACAGGAAGTTGGTTTGGGAGACACATACACCATGTAGAACTGGAAGGGTGGCACAGACCAGCCTCCCACCCATGGCAGCCATTCCTCTGTGACACGGGTCAGGGGGCCACTGGCCTCGAGTTGAACAACCCGTGACCAAGTGCTCAGTTCTTTATCAGGCAGCGTCTTTCGTCTTTCAAAGGTCCCGATTATTGGAAAGCCCTCTTTCTTGTGCTGAAAACTGCTGTCCTGACCCTAATCTCTGAAACTGCCTCGGACAAAATGTTCCCCACCTGCGTTTCCTTTGCTCAGTGGCCCTGATCCTTTCACTGTCCTTCCCTCTGGGCAGGAAATTCTCCTGCTGGTCAAATGGGGGAAGGGGCCTGGTCAAGGGTATTGATCATCCTTCTGCTCATACAGACCAAGGGCACGTTAGCTCTCACGGCAGCCTCGTTACTCTCCCTGAGAAACTGGCCAGCTGAAACCTGCAGGGGTGTTCTCAGGGGGACTGCTAACGAACTAGAAACTCACCTATGAGTTTCTGAAGCCAAATATGCAGGTCTTTCCACTTTTTCCCTAATACACTTCCGTCTATCACTTTCAATATACAATTCCAGGCAGCTTCAACGGCTAAAGCATTCTTCCCGCTGAGCTAAAGTCTGTCCTGTTACTGACTGTAGCCTAGTGCTCCCCGTCCCACCAGCCCCCTGACCATCACGCAGTCCCGCATTTTCTCCCGGGAGGTGTTTCCGGTGATAAATGTTCCCGCTCAGGTAATTGCACCTCCCATTCCTCTCGGGGGAATGCTGGTCTCAGGTAGAAGTTGGCTTAAGCAGTCAGAACCATGTGGGAGCTGAAGAAGCCTCAGCGACTCTCTGGTCCATCTGACCCATTTTGTAGAGAGGGAACCACAAGAGACGTGGGGGAAGGGTGGAGTCGCTCAGGTCAGCCAGCAGCAGTGTCAGGACTGGACTCCGGGTCCCTTCCTTCCCTCTTCTCCGCCACGGGCAGCTTACTTAGCACTTTGGGTCTCTGTTGCATCAGCTATAAAATGGAGCTGTGAGGATCAAAGTGAGTTAATCCGCGTGGCGTGCGCACCAGCCCGGCACTCGGTGAGGGTGTGCTAATCATGAACGTCTATGATTACACGCTGCTTCTTGGTGCAGCGGAGAAGCACCAGTTACCTGCGTAACAAGTAAAAACGGACACGTCAATTCTGTACTAAGTGGCGCGATGAGTAGGCTTGGGTTCAAATCACGGTTTTCCTGTTTCCCAGATGTGTGGTCTCGGACCAGGCTTAGTGTCTTCATCTGCAAAGGGAGAAATAGATGCCGCTGAAAAAGAGCGAGGAAGCTATTTATATGCTGGTGAAAATAATCCCCAAGAGACAGTAAATGGGAAAAAAATCCACGTGCAGAACAGTCTTCATAGCATGCCACCGGGCTTCAAAAAACGGAAAACATACATCTTTTCGCTTAGACACACGTAAAAACTCACTCGCTGCACAGGAAAGCCTAACACTGGGTGCCTGGGGTGGGCGTGGAGTAGAGGGGCAGGCGAGGGAAGGAACAGGGTGGCTGGGGGCCGGCACAGGAAGGGAGGGAGACCTTTTACTGTAGGCGTCGGTACCTTTGGCTTTTGAGCCATGTGACTGTATTGTCTACTCAAAACTTTTAGATTAAAAATTGAACAAGAGGGAGGGGAGTGGTAACGTCACCTCACAGCGGTGTGGGGGAGCCAGGCCTACAGCATCCGTGGCGTGACCAGCGCGTGGCCAGCAGCGTGCAGGCACACGGTGCATGCTGGGCGATGCGAAGTACCAGCCGTGCCCACCTCTCTGGCCGTCTGGTCCCCCGCCTCGGCCTACGGCCCGCGAGCTGACCTTGCCTCGCCCCGCAGGCTGCTATACTGGGTGACCTTCGCCGTGGGCCGCTCGTTCCGAGGCTTCGGCTACGGCCTGACGTTCCTGCCGCTGCTGTGCATGCTGGTGTGGAACCTCTACTACATGTTCGTGGTGGAGCCCGAGCGCATGCTCACCGCGGAGACCCGCCCCGACTACCCGGACCACGTCCCCTCCGACCACAGGCCCCGGCCCTGGGGCTGAGCGCGACCGCCCGGTCCCCGCCCGATCCGCCTGGAGGTGCCGGCTCTCCCCGCGTCCGCGCTGCTCTCGCCTTGGACGCGGGCCGTTTTCTTGCAGGAGAGAGGTGGACAGCCATGTCCTTTAAGGATGCTGAGGGCGCGGGCTCGGGACCAGGAGGAGGAGCCTCGCAGCGCGGCCACCCGTCCACACGGCTGCGCTGGGCCCCACTCTCCAGCCTCCTGCGAGGCGGTGGGCAGAGCCACAGCCCAAACTGACCCTTTCCGTGCGGGTTGTCTGGGCAGGGGCCGCACACTGCTCGTCCCTGAAGATGATCTGGGTGGCAGATCCCATAGGACGCTCATGTTGGGTGGAACCTTCCCGCTGGCCTGGTTCGGGCCCTGCACTGTTGGCCCTCACAGGCCCTTTGGCCTCGGACAGGACAATCACAGCTGGCCCACAGCTGCGGCCGCCGCCCTCCCACCGATTAGGTCCCTGTAACTCCCCACCTCCAGCCTGTGAGGGGACGGGAGGGGAAGGAAGGGGGTGTGTGTCCGTGTCCACGCGTGTGGCGGCTGGGAGGCACCGTGGCTGCTGTTAACCCCATGTGAATGTGGGTGTGACGATAAATGACTCCCGCTGTCTCACTTGGCTTGTACTTCGCGCTTGCACCCCCGTCTCGCGTGCCCCTTCCTTGTTCACACCGCACCAGAAACCTCCCCGCTACACGTGACGGAGCCGCTGGCAGGAGCCTGGGTGCCGGTGAGGAAACGGGGCGGCCCGGAGACCTGCCTTCCACCCCCACCTCTCAGCCTTCTCACCCCCCAAAAGCACACACACACGGACACGAGCGCTGTGGAAAAATAAGTCTATTTCATGACCCGAGGCAGCCGACCAGTCAGAAGGCCCTTCGCTTCGGCCCGCGAGTGGTGGGAACGGGGGCCGAAGGAGCACGGAGGCAAGTCCACGGCGCCTCCCACGAGCCATAGCCCTGTTCCCGGTCCTTCACCGGAGGATGAAGGAAGCCCCACCTGGTGGCCCCCAGGACTTGAGCCTGCTCCCCGAGGCTCTGCAAAAAAGCGAGAGGGGAGTGGCTGGCCGGGAACACTGACCCTCAGACTGGCAGCGGTTCGAGGCCCAGCAAGCCAAGTGTGGTAACGTCCTTCCCTCTCAAGAGCAGGCCTCAGTTGATGGGCTGATATTCTGAGTACCCCTTGGGGCCCAGCAGCAGAAACAAGCCCCCCACCAGCAGCAGGAGGGCTGGAGCACCCAGGGCCACCGCCATGATGCCTAGGACCAGTGGAGACAAGGCATCCACTGGAGGGGCCCCCACACCCAGGAGCGCCGACCTAGAGAGAGCAGAGTGAGAAAGAGGTCAGCGGGCTTGGGAGGCAAGGCCGAGGCCCAGCCCTCCCGCCCTTGCCCCTCCGAACCTCAGCCCAGGCCCCGCCTCACCAGCTGAGGTAGTGGTGGTCCCAGTAGCCAGGGCCCGCGGGAGTCCCGAATGTCAGATTGAAGGCACAGAAGTCGTTCTGGGACCCGAAGAAGGCACGGACGATGGGCGACTGGGGCAGAAGGTACGCCAAGGTGGGGTACGGAGGGGACGCGTGGCAGGGCAGGGCGGACTCTCGGCCCCCCTGCTTCTGGGAGAAAGCCACTGGTCGCCACTGCACGAAGCCTGATGGGAGGGAGCCCCACAGCAGCTGGTCCAACTGGGGAGAAAGGCAGGCGAGGCAGGATGAGGAGGGCCAGCCCGTGCCTGCCCCCACGGAGCCCCGCCCTTCCCCAGACTCGACCTCCCACCGGTTGTCCCGAGTCCCAGGCCTGCTCCCCGTGTGCACGGGGACCTCGCTCTTTCCTCAGTAGGGAGGGGAGTTGGACTGGATGAGCCCTGGCACCGCAAGCCCACGTGGGCTCAGCTCCCTCCCTGGGCCCCTCGGCCCTTGCACACCACCCCTGTCACTGTGGCACATGGCACGTGGCCTCTGCCTTCCTGTCTCCTCCACTGAGCAGGCAGAGCCTGGGCCTCAGTCATCAGCACGGTGCCCAGCACTTGAGGGAGCGGAATGAAGTGCGGCTAAGCGGCAAACGGCTGACCGTGTGTGGCCCTGATAGGGTCCCGTCGACCCCCCACCCGTCTGCCTGTCCGCTGGAAGGCTGACCTGGAAGACGGCGGGCGCATACTCGTCATCGATGGAGCTCTGCCCCTGCACTGAGGGGCAGGCCGGGCCCGGGCCCAGCATGGCCACCTCCAGCCCAAACAGGGAGCGGTTTCCCCGGGGAGAGGCCCCGACCAGGGCCACCTCCAGCTGGCACGTGTCCGCTGTGTGCAGGAGGCGAGGGGGCTGGGTTGGCCGGCCGGATCTGGGGAAGGCCTGCACCTAGGACGGAAGAGGCGTGGGGGGCGTGGAAGCCAATGGAAGCCTGTGCCTGGAGGCTGCCCTGCCGACGCCTCCCACCCTCGCACACCAGCCTCTGCAGTTCCGACTCCCCGCACCCTTACCCTGAAGGTCAGGCTGCCATTGGTAAAAGCCCCGGTGGGGTCACGAATGGGGTGGCCTTGAAACGTGGCACTCAGGGTGGCGGGGTCCAACGAGCCGGTGACGTTGTTCCAAGAGAATTTGGCCAGCAAGTACGGCGGGTACGGTTTCCCTGGGGGCTTTGTGGCTGTGCCCGACGTGTTGGTGCCGTCAAACTCAAACAGCTGCCGTGGGGGGT